TGTCTTTCCTCAAGTCCCATGAATATGAATAATGCACTTTCCTCTCTTATTATATGAGAAAACATGTTGATTTTGCTGGTAAGATATGAGAATTAGTGTTCCAGTGTGATTTACCTCAAAATACTGGAACCTTGTTACATTGCTAGAATAGGGGTCTGCCATAATTTAGAGTTGAAACAACATTTCTTAAAGTGGTATTATTTAGGTACGCATATGTGTATCAGGATAAAGGTTGGCATGTCAAATAAGAGCCCGATTTAATCTATTTTCTCAAAATATGACTAGGAATTTGGAAATGCTTTACATTTTGTAGTAATCAAGAACTATTTTAGCTCTTTTCAACTTGTCTGAGCTGCTTTTGTTAAGAAGTGTCTGAAATGTAAATGAAGAAATGTTACAGATACTTGAGACTCTGCTTACCTGCAGGAGAAACTGCAAGCTTTTCAAGCAACAGAAGTGTGTGCCTAGCTATCATGTGCACATTTAAAGAGTCCTTACGGGAGAAGAGATTATTTAGTAAAGTGGCCAGTGAATATTGCAGTTGGACTAGATGATTGTTGTAGTTCCCTTCCAACTGAAGTATTTTATTCTATTATTGACTAGATTTAGGGGAGAACTTAGGCAGCTACTGGTCCTCTCTTTCATCCCCCTGCCTCCCTTCCCAGCATTGCCATAAACTAAAAAGGGTCAGCTGCTTTTTGTTCTGTAGCCTCCTCTGGATCCTGTGGTTGTTCTTCAGTGGTTTGGAAAATGCATTGGGTTGAATGAAATACAGTCTTCATTTGCAAGGTGTTGGTCCTTCTCTCATAATTTATCCCAAGATGGCCTATGGATCCTCATGCCAGGGGTTCTTGACAGTGCAGATTACGTGGAACCAAATGTCTAGGGTGGGCTGTCAGAAGCAAAAGCTGGATGAAGTAGTATGGGAGATCATTGAACGGACTTCTCAAATCTTGTCCTCAAAAGATTTTTTATTTTGGGGTTTGGTTTGTTTTGGGGTTTGGCTTGGTTTTTTTTAAATTGAGAGGGAAATCCAACTTAATATGCAATGGTAAATGGCAGCTGTTTGACAACAGACTGTTTTCTACTATTAGGAGAGGACTCACCAGTACAATATGCATGATTATATCATCCCACAGTGATACAGCTAAATGAACATAGCAACAGTATTCACAAATAGTTCTACAAATAAACTGTATCGCTTTACTATTTTTACAATTTCTATTTACTTGTTTGCTAGTGAACAAATGTTAGTTTACATGTAAGAAACATTTAAAATAGCAAGAATATGATGAAAATGCAGGTAGCCATTTTGGCAAAGGAATACACAGCAGAACTGATACATTGTTCTCAACAGCTCTTTTAATTACCTGCATGAATACATTCACCTACCAATTGAATAAATACTCTGCAAACAGTAGAAGAGGGTTTATCTCATTTATAGTGCAAGAAGAAAAATACCATTTCAGTGATCCTACTGTGAAGACAGATTTATCAACAACTTCAGGTTTAAAAAAAAACCCTGAAATTTACTGGATATCTGCAATTCATGAGTCTACAAAATCTACAGGCCTTCCTATAGCTTTTTGCTCAGGAAAAATATACATTTATCAGATTTATTACATGCAATGAAGAATTACCGTAGGCCTCATAAAATTGGTGGGAGAGAGATCCAAAAGATCCCAGAGAAGCAGCACAAAAAAAGTAAACCCTACAGTTTGATTGCAGTGTTTGAATGCTATACTATCACTGGTCTCATAAAACAAACACATTCATGCAAAAGCTTTATAGGTAGCATTCACAAAGACCTACTTTTGAAGGATATATAGCATTTTAGGTAGTTCCTTCACAAAAATTCCACCATCAATTTCTGCCAGAATGACTGCTCACTAGCTAACTTAATTTGTTTGGTACTGCAGTCTTCCTCTTTCCAACACATCCTTTTTTTGGCCACAGCAACACCCTTGAGTCTCCCAAACCAAGGAAAATGAGAGGGCAATGCTCCCTGCAGAGTTTTAATCTGGCTGAAACCTTTATCCTATCACATTGATAATTTTTTTTTTAATATATTGTTCCTTATTATGGGCTGTTATTTGACCATTATGAGCAGGGGTTTGGTGCAATGGGACTGAAAACATGAATGTAACAGATTAAGTTTTGTCTTGCCCCAAGTCCCAAACATGGGCATGCTCCTATTCTGCAGCTCTTGGGAAGAGGATAGTCACAGACCCACAGATGTGAATTTGCCTGCCAATTTCAAGAAATTGGATAGTGTAATAAGTTTATTGTCTCTGTGAGAGAATAAATCAAGATAAGTTTTGGGGGGGGAGTGAAAAGGTCAGAGGACAAGTACAGCCATATTGCTGAGAATTAAAAATAGTGGACACAGAAGAAAGAAAAAAAAAAGATACTTGATAAAAGCAACAATATCTCTTCTCCCCTTCACTTAAATAAGATAATTTTACAGATGGCCAGTAAAAGTTGAAAACTACAGTTGGCAGAGCCAGTATGAAATTATAATAGTGATTTAGGTCAAAGTACAAATCTGTGCTTTTCTTATTTCCTCTATTTTCTTCCTACATTTTCATGAAGGCTAAGGCTCTACAAAGCTCAGGAAACAATTAAAATAACTGACAATTTTACATATTCACTATTCATCAAATATTTTACTTGAAATAAATTCCCATTAGTATTCTTCAGTGATTTAAACTACCATGAGCAGGTAAGGAAGGAAATTAGAAGATCAGAGACCAGTTTCAGAGACAGCAGAAATAAAATGTGAAAACCTCAAATGACGTCTAGGACACACCAGATTCTGGTTTGGGGGTTTTGGTTTTGGTTTTTTTTCCTCCAAGTTTCAGAGAGACACTGTCATTAAAATACATCTTCAGGAAGTGGCTTAAAGTCAGGTTTAGGCCTACATTCAAATTTATTCCTGACACAAATGCAGATTTTACAATGAAATCTCTCTTTTTACGGGGCAGGGCAGGAAGTACAGCAAATCACCAACTTTATAAACCGTTGAATCTCCATACAATTTCACCTCATACAAGCCAATTCATGCATGCAAACAAAGCAAATGCGTTTGTTTTATCTGCCATCTAGCAGCCACAGGTCCCACACTAGACAAGGGTAAAAGAAGCTACCACTCTTACTTAAATCTATTTTGAGAGCTGTGAGGGAGAAGGAGGTGAACTCCAGACTACTTTTGAATGACGGCATAACACCTACCCTGAAAACCACTGAAACCAATAAAAGGACCCACTAGCAATGAAGAAGCCTGCTTCACAGTCTAAAGTCAATCCTTAGATGTAGTGTAAATCAGGAGTATCACTCAGCTATGAGTTAGGTGGAACATTCTTGCGACTGGTGAGTTTAACAGCTGTTCTTCATTTTGGGTTAAAAGTCAGACCCATTTAGGATCTTTGATGAAACCAGACAGCTTAGAACAACAGGTACATGTGGTAGGGGAAGGAAGGGTTTTACTCTTTTGCTTGCAGGAAAAGGAGAGCATGGGAGGCAGCTTGCATCAGTCAAGGGGAACTAGCAGGATGTTAGCCATAGTCACAACCTAGTACTGCCAAAAAGCTAAAGGAGAGACATGTCTTGGGCCAATTTCTGGCTGGAAAGAAGGTGAAAGCTGTGAGCCAGGAAACTCTTTCCTGTTTTGTTCAAGGAAGGTGGACCTTGAGTTTCCTTTGAAAAATATTCTTGGAGTGCATCAAATACCCAGTGTCTCGCCTGTGTTTTTCCTCCTAAGCAAAATACTACAGACCACACTAATTCTGGTTGAAAATTGACTCAAAAAAACCCCAGGCCTAACTCCCAACAATGCAGATTTAAACTCAATCAAATGTAAGCATGTTAAAGGATGGTCAAACATATAACAAATTCTCTTGCCAAGAAGGGAGTGGCTAATGAATTGATTTTAGCTAGTAGTTGGGTCTCAGTTCTTGTTAACATTTCTCTTTACTGTTTTAAATGCATGTTCTTTCTACTCAAGCTCATTTTGAATGAGAGATGAAAACTTACATTTGAGTATTTGCTGCAGGGCAGAAAAACCTCAACTCAAACCTCTTGGGAGCTGATTTCAGGAAATGGGTAACAGATTTCAGCAACTGGCACAAAATGATAGAATGGCAATTTTCCTTCCCAAGCATATTGTAAGAAAGATGAAATAAGCCTTTGTGAGAACACAGTCAACTGATCAGAAGGATTCAATACCAACACTTAGTAAATTACCTGTCAGAAGAGTTACAGTGCAATTAGGAGCACCATACCAGGATGTATTTCCAGACTACCCAAGTACTCTCACAGCTAGTGCAGTAGCCCTTCTGTCTCCTGGCTGCATTAAAATGCTGTGTCTCACTCTACAATACCGACAGCTGTATCAAATCTAAAAGATACCAGCAGTCACCTGTCACAACACCTTTCAGTGCAGCACACACTGATTACCAGGCACTCATTCATTAGCCCCACTTTGTTTGAAAGTCTCCTTAATTGTGTGCTTGCTGCTTCTCCATTCATGATAGACAGCAATTCTGCTGGCAAGCTTAAGAATAAAATATCTGAACGCCACTCTTAATTCACTTTTAATTAACATATTGCTGCTGTATGAACACAGAGAACCCTTTCACTGACTCTTGCCAGATCTCACTTTCCACTGGGAAGTGGCTTCTGTCCCAGCCACCGGTCTGCACCCCAGCCTGTCCCACAACCCGCAAGGGCTCTGGAGCCGCCCTGCCCCGGCCTTCACTGGCACGGTGCCGCCTGCCTCTGACCCCAGGTACGTGTTGCATTGGCAGGGCACGCTGGAGCTGGCAGACTTGCCCCTGCAGAAGGGCTCCGTGGAGCTCCTCAAGCAGAGATGGGAGTCCACCGATGCTACAAGACCTGGCCCGACGCTCCGGTGCTCTCCAGCCCCACGGTCCCTGGTGCTGGATAAGATCAGCTGCAGCAGCACCGTGGAGAAAGTACCGGCAGACAGCAGGAGGGCGGACATGTTCAAGGAGGAGACCTCAGGCGGCCCTCAGCAGACCGAGCACTTCCCCATCACTGTGGAGGAGCTGCGGAGCCACTTCGAGGCCCTGGGTGGCAAGAAGGTAGGTGCCTGGGGTGGGCGGACACTGCGAGGGAATGGAAATGGGCCCCAGGGCGGTTTCCCCAGCCTCACACAGCCCCTTCTCCTGTGCCCCGCTGGGGATGGGCAGCGCCGCCCACAGCTCCCGTGGATGTCCTGTGGACAATTTGGATCAGCGTGTTAATACTAAGTGTTCTCTAGCTTTCCTTATTCCATAATGTTATTGGTCTGGATCATTTTAATGGTTGCTGACGACTGGCGCTATCTGCCAACCTGTCAGGTAAGTTGGTGCGCAATTGTGCTTGGCCAGTGCTTTTTAGCGGGGGAGAAAAACAAGGTATTATGGCCCGAGAGCAGAATTCCCCAATGAAACTATTTACAAACACTCTAAAACTTTCTGAAGCAGTTGTTTCTTAATTGTAGAACAGTATTGACTCCCTTTCAACTGAGAAACCTGCTGTCACTTCACCCATTGGTTTTCACTGGCATAACATGACAGGCTGGGACAAATTGCAACCTTTATTTGTCATCAGATTTTTGTCTGAGACATGTCTGTGATTTCTTTGAACTATCTAGACAGACGCTAGGCTTTTTTGAAGCTTAAAAAATGCTTCAGAGAAGTATAGGATACTGAAAAGGTTATTAGTGAACTTAATTAGGGCAACTTCATTTGGTTTTGTGGCTAAAAAGTCTTTCACCATGCTTTACCTCTTCTGCATGAAAACTAAAATGTCCCTGCAGGTTTTGGTTGCTGATGGAATATTTTATACCTTTCACATTGTAAATTCTCACTTCTTGTTCAGTTACCAGGTTAAAAGAAAAAAAAACATAAATAAATAAAACCTCCCCTTTTTACCCCATTTCTCAAAGATATACTAAAACTTGATGTCACTGTGTTCTACCACCTTCTAGCTACTGCAGGATAACCCTGCCAGGCCATGTACTCAGTCATTTACCCATTTAATTTTAATGCCCAGAGTGATTTAAACATGGTTTTCTGGTCCAGAAACTAGAGTTCAGAATAATGCATGCTGACCGTGATATAATTCATACACAAAATCCTGCTATTAAAAGATATTAGAAAGCTTTTTTATGTGAACAGTAAAATAAATATTCATGTGATTCATGAAAAATCTTTTCATTGGCTTTAGACACGTAACACAAAAAGTAGCAGGTACCAATAAAATAAAGGTTAAAACTTTATGGGATTATTGAGCACTTTAAAGACCACATAAAATAGTCATAGACTGCTGCAAAGTGGCATACTCAAATGATTTTAAGGCGGAGACCTTTTTGGTTGATCTAACTTAGTCATTTTTTAATAATACCAAAATAAATTTTTTTCCTATGAAGCAGTGCATTCAGTATTGCAGACATGACCATTCTTGTCAGAGCAAATTGGTTCTTTTTTAATCTTATTGATACAAAGAGCTCCTTATTGAATGAGAAAGAATAATTTTTTGGACTTAAGCAGCATTCTTCACTTGACAGGATTGCAGACCTTTATTTAAACAATAATTACCAAGAAAGTAAAAGAACTCCTCACTCCCAGTCTCAGAACTGTTACACCAATTAAATATTACTTTGTTAGGGTTTCTTTGCAAAATTTGCTACTGCTCCATCTGCAAATGCTTTGAATTCATGTGCAGCTTAGAATCTGACCATTAGTATTATTATTTCACTGATATACTTTATAACAATTATTTCCAAGTATATCTCTCTGCTAGGTGTTCCTTCAAGTGAAAATTAATCATTTCTGATAAAAAAGAGGAGCAAAGGCTCAGTAAAAAGTGTAGGAGGTAGGGGGGAAAGGGTCAAGGAAGTGTTACTTTCCTCTTTCTTACAATTTGTTTGCCAAGAACGCTGCGTATGAAATGTATTTGAGTAGAGCTCTAGTTAAAATCAGTTTTATTCTCTGGCCACCCAGAAGTGAAAGAAGAGGTGTACTCTCTACAGAGCATGCCTTCTTGCTATGTTACTGAAACTCATGGAGGAATTGCAACTGTTAAGATCAGTATGTTGCAAAGAACATTGAAAAGCAGATGGTGCTTATAAACTGGGAAGTGACAAGGGGTGGAAAATAGTGAGGAACAGGCCCTTTTTTCAGAATTCAAGTGGAAGAGCTTGAATTCTGTTATCCTGTTCAGGTAGCTGTCTTAGGCAATAAGATTTATATTGCTTCTGAGGATTTATTTCCCTAGCATTGTAAAACATCTTGAGGTTTCCAAGATACAATCAATGTGAAATGTAGAAAAATGGAATCTGCATCATAGAAGACTTTCACAATGTAAGCATTGCGTCAATATTTTTCCTTAAAAAGAAAAATTTGAAAGTGAGCCTACAAAAAATGTAGGCATTCATACCAAGGGTTTCTGATGCTGAAGAAGTACGGATACTTAAACTCAGGTCATGCACTTACAAATCTGGGCAACACAGACCCAAAGCAAGACTGACAGAATTTAAAAAAAAAAATGTGTGAACTCTACAGGCATAGGAGTTCTGTGAAAGGTTAGATTATTTCAGTAATATGAAAAGTTGGAGCTAAACTGATGCTGGTGCTAACAACGGCAACAACACCTATGTCCAAGATCTAATGGCACAAAAAATGTGTAGAAATTACTGATTCCTCCACTGGTAACAGTGAATAAACATGAAAAAAATAAAATCATGTGACATAAATATGATCCACAGCAATCTCAGGCTTTGCATGTATAAAGCCTGGACTTTGTATCATATTTTAAATTAATATACTGAAGGTTTTTAAAGGTGCATGTTAAGCATTTGATGTGTATCTGGTTAATGATAAGGACCCTAGATGTTAAAGGTGACAAAGGCATTTATTAATATTAATGAATGTTAAGTATTTTAGTAGTTAAATATTACACCATGAGATAAGATACTTGTAATGAAAAACAATAGCAATTTAGTATGCCTTCAGAAGATACCTTTTGACTATAGTTCTATCAAGTCATCAGTGATACAAAAAAATACTTGTATTGCAAGATAATGCAAGGCTGTGCAAAGGTTTTAGCAAACTAATTGCTTAAGATTCAATCTCTTTCAGCCATAGTACATTTCCATGGGCAGGAGGAGTGAAAGATGGGGAATGAACTGATGCATTTTCCTTGAATTGTTGTAGTGGTTTCACCCAGAAGTGATAGAGAAGGTTAGAACAAAGTTAGAAATGGCTGTATGTAAAACTAAGTTGAAGCCATAGAAATCACAGTGGAATTTTTAAAATTTAAACAAAATGTCTTTTAAGGCTCAGTGCCAGCTAACTATATTACAGTTACCTTATGCATAAGTGAACATGCTCATTAGCCTTATGCTCAGAAAAAGACTGCCAACTGTTGTAACCCTGCTTAAATGGACTATCTCTTGACTAATCAGACTTTCAACAGCAGGGCCCATCTTATTATCCATAGGAAAAATAGATTTTATTCTAAGGCAGCAAAATCCTGCTGATTAAAATTTCTAAAACCTGTCATTCAGGTTCCATTTCCATTGCAGTGCTGTTATTTGTATATGTACAAAATCAATAGAGAAAAATCAGGGCAATTAAATAATGTTAAACCATGAAGTGACTTCTAAACAATTATATCAATTATATAAAGAACCCTCTGCTGGTTCAAAAGTGAAAGACATTATTATAGGCAGCTGCAAAGATATTTAGACTTTTGGCATTTTTCTTCCTGGTGGCTATATGGTGAACTATGCCCAATCCTAATTATTTGAATGGAATTAACACTTCATATTGCAATAGGAGAATACAAAAAAGAATAAAAAGAGACAGGGACTAGGTTTAATAATTTTGAAGCTGAATCAGTTGGTGAAGTCAAATTACTTTTGCCTGAGTTTATCCAAGTAGAACTTGGATGTATATCCTTCTTAGGAGTATTAATAAGTTAATAATTAATTAAGTCTGTTGCTGGAGCCTTTTAATGAAAGCCTATAGTATCAGGCCTGTCCATACCTTTCTATTACATAGAAATAAACTGATGTCCCATTCTGATAAAATGAAAAGTATTTCCCCCTTTCCTACAGGAAAAAACTTTTTCTTAGGAAGTAATAATGTAGTAAAACATCGATTTACTGTACTGACTTATCACTCCCATGAAACAAGTACTTTAGTTTATTAGCACTCAAATGCATTGGAATGTTAAAGCAACCAAGGCCTCTGTTTGCTGGAAAGTGATTATGTATGTTTTTCTTAAAATATGTTAAAGCATCCCAACTGAAAAAGTAATTTCATGCTTACTTTTTAGAGAAACGTATTCAAAGATCTCATTAAAACCATTCATTTAAATAATCTGGTATATGTTCATTAAACTGTGTCCTTTGCAGAAAACACATGAACTGCTGCCAGAAAGTAAATGAAGGGAACAGATGTTTAATGTAAAATGTTAGACCTTCACTAAAATTGTTTAAACAAGCAGCATCTTTTTTTCCCTTAACACTCTAAGAAACGTTTATATTAATTTAGCAAAGCCATGTAATGCAGAAAAGAACAGAAAGCCCACAACAACTGTAGGTCAGTTTTGTACCCTGTTAGCACTTGCATCATTTGTATTTTTATTATGGATGCTTGAAAGCAAATAGTGAGGAGTGCATGGGATGGCCAAATGATTACCCTTGCTGAAAAGCTTGATACTGAAGGGAGTGCTGTACGGTCAGCCTTCTGGATTTTGGCTTCATCTCCTTCTTGGCTCATTCTTTTTGTGACACAATGCATTCCTCCCCTTTGTTTTCATGAACTTTTTTCTAAGGCCAGAAGATTCCACAACAAGGAAAGGCCATATTGCCTATGGGACTTGAATTGTAGATCGTGAAGAACAGGTTTTGGTAAAAATTCACATTCTTTTTTTCCTTAAAGGAAAACTTTTCTTCTGTGCTTTTACTTTCTCAGTAAACATATCAGCTCTTTACAGGTACCTTACAAATCATCTGAAGAAAAAATCCTCCTCCCACTTTGGTTATTCTTATTTAACTCACCTCTGAAATGGACTGGCTTTTCACAGTTTG